ATGTGAATCCGGCCTTATACGGCCTTATATTTAACCCCTTGAAACTTTACAATCACAATGGCTATAGAGATTTGCCTCTCAAGATATAACGCAATCCGACAGCACTGCTTGAATAATACACTCTAAAAATGCTGGGTTGTTTTAACCCAACTTTGGGTCAAATATGGACAAACCCAAACGTTGGGTTTAAAAAATTTAACAAATCCAAATGCAATTAAAACATTTAACCCAATGGCTGGGTTTGTCCATATTTGACCCAAAGTTGGGTTAAAACAACCCAGCATTTTTAGAGTGTAGCTATAAGTAAAACTACAGTAACTGCCCTATTTTGAAAAATAAACTTTAGAGGCAGGCTCATTTGTTTGTGAGAATATTAGACATATCGCCTTACAGCAAACGGTGCTCAGATCGCATCACTTCTTGAAGAACAACGATGAAGCGCAGATCGTTCAGGCGAAATCTGAGGTAAACAATGGAAAATATATTAATATTTCACAGATTTAATGCTTTTGTGGACAAAAAGTGCTGTTGTTTTTCAATGGACGCTTGTCATGGCCATTTTATCCATGTGTGACGGATTGCAATCGCTAATATAATAATTACGAAGGTATAATTTAAATATTATTATTTAAATAAATAATTGTTTACTTTAGGGCTGTCACGATTCCTCGATTAAAATTGAGTATTCAGTTTGAAAAAAAATCCTCAATTGCTATAATACCGGTGTCGATTAACCGGCAAAATACCGGAAGTGATGCAATATGAGCCGCATTATTAGACCGTTTTCTAAGGCTGCACGATGTATTACAAATTCACAAAGACTGTGGTTCAATTAAATAAATATATGTCCTGCGGGTTTAATATGCGCTTTAATTATTTACATGCGTGCAGGTTACCTGCGTCTGAAAGCGCTTTGTTCACGGATCCACGTCATCATCACCTGTTACATGCGTGGAGTGAATCTCTGCATGCTGTGTGTTTGGTAGCCTACTTTTGTTTGTTTATAATGTGTTAAAACAATAATTTGTATTGTTTATCATCTGGGAACGCAATGTGCGGTATTTCATCAGATTTGTAAGGTAAGTAATTTATAATCATACGCTAACGCAGGAGAATATATTATGTTTTCAAATATGCGACCTGTTCATCGCGATTTCAGAATAAAAGTTTAAACCCTCGCTCTAAATTTGCATGTTTTGATGTCCATTACGGTGAAATTTCGGTGGCTGTAGCATTGCTTTCATAAAGGAGTGAAAAGCAACTTTCCATATTAAAGATTAAAGATTAATCAAACATTTTAATCAAAGGGCGATTTGATTTGGCCAATATTAAACACAATCTGCTGTAAAGTGCAACAACACCATGCCGTTGGCGCCCTCTGCAGGCATTTGTTATAAAACATAGTGTTCATAAGAAGATTGTTTATTTAAAGGGATACTCCACTTTTTTTGGAAATAGGCTCATTTTACAACTCCCCCAGAGTTAAACTGTTGAGTTTTACCGTTTTTGAATCCATTCAGCCGATCTCCGGTTCTGGCGGTACCACTTTTAGCATAGCTTAGCATACATCATTGGAGTGGACAAGACCATTAGCATTTCTAAAAAGAAAATGACCAAAGAGTTTCGATATTTTTCCTATTTAAAACTTGACTCTTCTGTAGTTACATCGTGCACTAAGACCGACGGAAAATGTAAAGTTGCGATTTTCTAGGCTGATTTGGCTAGGAACTATACTCTCATTCCTGCGTAATAATCAAGAAACGTCACTGCCGTACCATGAGAGCAGCAGGCGTAATGATATGACGCAGCGCCTGAAAATAGTTCCGTTGTGTTGACGGAAGGTGGCCTATTTTCAGGCGCTGCGTCGCAGCGTAGCTCAGAAAATTCAAAATCAAGTCGTAGCTCTCAGAAAATTATGAGTTTTAATTACTAGTTCTACAAGCACGTGAATGTAGCCTGGGAAAAGCCAGACAACTTCCGGCAAATTTAGATTTGCTCTGAAAGTTAGTCTGGCATAGAGCTCATTCAAGCCCATTTCCAATCCGTCGAAATCAAGGCACCAATCAGAAACGTTGGGGCGGGCTTTAAACGATGACGACAGCGCTGGGATTTTGAAGCAGATTTTGTAGCCTACATTACAAAGATGGATGCCGCCGTCGAAAATCACTCGTTCGAATCAGCTGTCGCGTCTGTTTTAAGCGATTTGAACGTTTCCTTTTTGTTAAAAACAGAACAAAGAACAACACTCGGAGATGTTTCTCCGCCGCTCTGCATACGTCATCTCCTTCATCGCCCCGATTGGTTTTAGGTCTATCCGCGACGTCCGTTGGTGACACCCCTCTGGAAATGATTTGTCTATGACACTTTGCCAGACCATAACTCAGTTACAACTGAGAATAGTCTGGTTTTTACCAGGCTAACGTGAATGCTTTTTACAGTTCAAAATCGTTACGTTAATTATGACATGGTGTGAACGCACCTAAAATTATCCCAGAGCTTCCCAGTGGTAAATATGGCTTGAGTTCATGTCCAATATTTCACTTGGAAACTCGTATTTACAAAAATTCCGATAACATGTGAAGGCAGCAAACTGCTATTATGTTCCTTACTAGAAGAGAGACTCTCTTCCTGACCCACAAATCAGATTACATATCAAGCAAACCTGACAACTGAGTTGAAATGCTAATCAGACAGAGATGGAGAGTAAATGTGATGGGGTCTTTGGCATAATGCTAGTGCACTCCACCGCAGGACTTTCTCACAATAGCCATCTGTTTTTATTTATGCCAGCACATCACAGCGACTTAAGAGAAAAAGGGAGATGTTTCCAAAAGATTCAGTACACTCTTTAATCCTTTTTTGAGTGTGCTCCACTGAAGTGTAAAAAGTAAAATAGAGAACATTTTTTGAAACCTTTAAGCACTACTGATTTACATTGAAGACCCCATTAAATTAAAACAAGTCTCATTGCCTCAAAGCTAATATGCTAATATATATATATATATATATATATATATATATATATATATATATATATATATGCTAGAGCACTCCTACATTGACAAAATGAACTTATAGCAGATCCACTACCATCCAAAAGTTTTTTGGGGACACATTAAATTGATCAAAGGTGTAATTAAGCAGCACAACATTTTTTTATAATAGTATGATAATAAGAAATGTTTCTTGAGCAGCAAATAAGCATTAGAGCGATTTCTGAAAGGATCATGTGACACAGACCCAGACCGGAGTAGTGATGCTGAAAATTCAGCTTTGCCATCACATAAATTAAATTTTAAAATACTACGTTATTTTGATTTGCAATAGTATTTCATAATGTTACTGTTTTTACTGTAATTTTGAATGAAATAAGTGCAGCCTTGGTGAGCATAAGAGACTTCTTTCAAAAAACATTTAAAAAGTCGTACCTACCCCAAACATTTGAACGATAGTGTATATATATATATAATGCATAATTACAGTAAACATAGGCTTTTCTGGGAATAGTTTTTTTTTTTTAATGACTTGTACGGTTTTCTGTTAAGGTTATTCTAATCCATGGAAAAAAGAAAGTCATACAGGGTTTGGAATTACATGAGGGTGAGTAAATGATGAGAGAATTAATTGGCAGAATCATTTTTGAGTGAACTTTTCTTCTTAGATCAAGTTAATTCCAGAGTCATTAAACTTTTACTGTTTGATATATCTTCCTGTGCTTACAGATTACTGTCTTTATAAGGAAGTCCCTCGTGGAGGACATGGGTGAGTAGTCTGAGTGAACTCAATGAACTTGTATCAATTCTCCTGTGAAGTACTTTACGTCATCTGCGGCTGGAAGGGTTTATTCAAAACACTTATGAACGGGTGTTTTACTTTCAGTTCTTAAGATGGATGGATATATGGACAGAAATACGATGAGGGTTGCATAGGTGATTATTCAGTCACTGGATCTTTTCAATCTTTTCTTTATGTTGTCTCATTTGTGAACCCTTTAGATTAACAGTGTAATGTTTACAGCTTACATTTTAAGTCTGTAATTTAGAAATAGTAATTTTCCTCTAACATTCAGATTTAAAATATATATATATAAAACTGGTTAATTCAGGTTTGGTTTTTGGTTTTAATTATTTGCTATTAGTTGTATGATTACCAGACACACCTGCCAGTATTATTACAGAAATAAAAGGCATTTCTCATTTAAATTTAAGGAAAATCTTTTTATTTAAGACCTCATTAAGAACAAGTTGGCCTACAGTATTTCTTAATATTATTATGATTACATTGTTAATGTTTCTAATAAAACTTCTGCACCTAAGACAGTGCAGTGATTGTTACATCTAATACATTTTACTAAAATTAATTGCTATAGTAAATTAAGGGAAATTTAAAAAAATAGGTTAATTACACAGTTAGTAGATATTAAATTGTATGTGTGTATGTAAACACTGAGTATAAAGTTTTTCGGTTACACTTTATTTTAATGTGTCCGTTACAGTGTAATTATACATTTAAGTACTGAGCAATATTAAGTACATGTACCTATAGGGTTAGGGTAGGATTAGGGTTAGGTTTTGGTTTTATGTAATTATTATATAATTATTACTATAGTAAATACATCTAACGTGTGATAAGGACACATTCAAATAAAGTGTTACCAGTTTTTTATATAAATAAATGTTTCCAGTTTACAGCTTTTGTATTTAAAGGCAGGAAATAATACATAATAATATATTGAAGTTATTGTGTCTGTATGCTTGAAATAACAAACTCAGTTGTGTCAAATCTGCCTGACTTTTTGCATCAAGTTTTTAAATCAAATATACTTTGCAAATGTTTGATTTGATATCCGCATACATCTATTTCTGTTCATCAGCGCAAACTATTTAAGGCTCTTGTCTCGCATTAAATACGGGACGGTGAGAAAAGTGTCAGCAATGCTGTCTGGATTTAGTTTTTTATAGGGTTAACGTTTACCAAATTACTTGTGTGTGAGATTGAAAGTGAAGGGCGTGCTCCTGGCTGAGGGAAAAAGTGTGTGAGCCTGGCCCTAATGCGGAATCTCATTAAGGCAACTGTCAGGATTCTTCTATTTTACTCTCACCTCTCCTATTCCGTAAGAGCCCGAGTGTCGTTTCGAGTGAGTCTGCCGCCAAAGAGGCATTTACAAATAAATGAAAAATGTCACAATTGATTTTACTCTTCCAAGACTACAGCGTGTCAGCTTTGTCACAAACTGTCTTTGTTGTTCTCCGTCTTCCAGGTCCAGCACCCGCACGTGGTCGATAGTTACTGACTGGTTCGGGCCCTTTCCTGCCTCGGCTCCGGTAAGCCCTCAGACAATGACCTTTTATTTGTGTTGCTTTTATGTGTTCTGTGTCTCATCCTCCGGCTGAAAATACCTCACTGATCAGCGTTCAGGAGGGGACGGGAGAGCAGGAAAGCATGGAAGCGGGGGGAAATAAAGCAGGAAAATGGCGTGGCATGCTGATAGGAGTGAAAGCGTAGTACGGTTTTTAACCCTTGTGGTGAAGCATGTCTCCGGAAATGTCGAAGCAACGTTGCTCGCTGTTAGGTGCACCAGTTAACCCTAATATCCCTAATATTGCGATTTTCATTTGTGTGATGGAATTCTTGAATGGCCGTGTCGGTACCTGCTGGTTGCAGAGAATCACACTGCTTTAGTGAGTGGTGGAATTTTCCCTTTGTGCCAACATGCGATACGATTGCTAAGCTTTTCCGTCAATCCAAGCATATTAAATCCTCACGCAGCTGTTGTCGACCAATCGATAAGATCTGTTGCAAGACAATTTCATCACAAAAACATGTTAGTACGAGACAATTTTAAAAGAATCGCACGTGTAGGTACTGCTTATTGTTTGTCTACCCCCGATATATGTCTCTAATACAATATTCAACACATTAAATGACAAATCGATGGGATTTTGGGTTCGCTCTAAATTTTCCTTTGCGTTATATTTCGCGTTACAGAAAAACAGCGAAATAAGCGAACATTTGAAACTATATTCTCTGGTTTTACTAATGTTTTTGTCCGCTGTCATAACCGCAAAATCCTAATAAATCATATTTTATGGGCTAGAATTTGTCCATTTTCCATACTGTCTCCAGTCGCCATTTTAAAATATTCTGCCATATAACTGGTATGCGTGGTTTTAAATGTAACCAAAATAATTATTCATGACGCATATATCAGCACAAAACATTTTACACCACACAATATCCTTACAGCTAGTCGACAACACACGCTCTGTTTTTGCTGAGCGCAAAGCATTTCGCCTTTGTCTTTTATTCTTCGTCATTATTATCCAGTACATATATTTTTTTATCATTTACTGTGGCATCTTATGACCAGCTGTCGTTGTTACATCTTGCGCCGTGGCTCCAGAGGTACCATATTTTAGTCTTGTTATGAGACGACAGACAATAAAACAGCTCGACTTGAACTGATATAAATTCGACATGCTAGTCTTCTCAGGACTTAATAGTCAGTTCAACACTTGTCACATGACATCAAGAGCGACACATCACACAGACACAATCTACTTCCCGTCTTACCTGAGACAGCGTTCTAAAAGGGTTCAAAAGATCCCTTTAAAACCGAACATAACAATGGTAAATTGTGGATATTCAAACTCTAAAAACTCGCAAAATGCCAGTGGGTTGCAATCATTCACAAGTGGTACTATTTCGTTACGTACCTATATGTCCAATCCAGGACCACCAGGCTCTAAGTTCCTTAGTGTGAAAAATAGCAACCACTCGGGACACTTACTTCCCTGCTCTGACCCTGGTTAGACAGGGGAACTGGACAAAAGCTGTAAAGAAAAAGACCTGCGGTGTTTGATTGAAGAGTGGAAATGGTGCGTTGCATTCACTGGGGTAACCATGGAACACAGCCAAGCACTCTTAAAAGGGGACAGCATGGGACACCTGTTGTGACCTTTTCCTGCCTGCCGAGCCACAGCAGAAGGCTGAATAGGGTAGAGTGAATTAGAGGCTAATTCCCTCCGCATTTCAAAGATGGAGTTTCTGAAGGTTTTGTGGAAGAGGCTTTTGGTCAAAATTAGGTCCATCACAGAGCATTTTACAACAGCTTCTCTCGCCCAATCTGTAGGCAGTCCGTATAAAATTTGATAAGCCTGACTGTTCCTTTGTCAAAGGAACATTTCAGAGATTGTTTTGAGAGATTTTAAGATGCATGTACAAACAAACCATTCAGAAGCTCTTGATTTATATTTGACAGCTGTGGTCCTGGAGGTAATACCTCCCTTAATCTGGGCTACTTTGAACTTCACTTCTTCTGTTGTGTTTCATAAGTTCAGACTTGGGATGCAACATATTTTCAGTGTTACATCAGATACCTTACATTGTTTTGACTTTTAAAGGAATGGTTCACCCAAAAATGTCATTTCTGTGATTATTTACCTTTCGGATCCAAACCCGTATGACCCTCTTTCTTCTGTAGAATAGTAGTGCTGGTTGTAAAGACTGTTTTCCATGCTCTTTTGCACGCAGTAAAAATGAATGGGGACTGACGGTTTAAAGCTTTAAAAAGGACACAAAAGCACCATAAAATATCATACAAGTGGATTAGATTCTAAGGGCCCTATTTTAACGATCTGAAACGCAAGTGTCAAAGCGCAAAGCGCAAGTAACTTTGTGGGCGGATCCCGGCGCTGTTGCTATTTTCCCGGCGGGATAAATGCCTCTTGCGCCAGGCGCAAATCTAAAAGGGGTTGGTCTGAAGTAGCTTCATTATTCATAGGTGTGGTTTGGGCATGCTTATCTATCTATCTATCTATCTATCTATCTATCTATCTATCTATCTATCTATCTATCTATCTATCTATCTATCTATCTATCTATCTATCTATCTATCTATCTATCTATCTATCTATCTATCTATCTATCTATCTATCTATCTATCTATCTATCTATCTATCTATCTATCTATCTATCTATCTATCTATCTATCTATCTATCGAAAACTGCTGCTTAGATGAGAGAATCGTATGCGCGTTGTGCACACGCTACATTGATTATGGCCAAGCATGCGCCCTTAAAATAGCATAATGAACAACGCGCCACTGACTTTAGACTAGGTTTTTTTCTGGTCAGTGGTGCAATTGTTTTATAGAACAGCAAAATAGCATGAGGGAAAGTTTGCGCCGGAACACGCCTCCTCTTTGCGCTGAACCGCCCCGGGGAGCGCAAGTGTATTTCTTAGTTAACCGACGTGTGTCTGTGGAGGGAAATGTCCGCTTTGCGCGGGTGCAAAATAGGAATGATACATGCGTCAGTGTACAAAGTCATTTGCGACGGGTGCAAGATAGGGCCCTAAGTCTTCTGAAAACATACAATAGCTTTGTGTGTTACTTAATCTTAACATCCACTCGAACTGTCCTTGGCAGGGTCATAAGAGTGCATGAGAGAAGTAGCGACGTCAAATTGTATCACTCTGTCTCACTCTTCGAAACGGGTCTTTTCAATGAATGAATGGTTCGTTCATAAATCAGACTGATCTGGTTCATATGTTCAACTCACTGACATAAGTATCCTTTTTTATGATACATTTATAGAGATTTGATGTGCTTTTTTTAAGCTCAAGAGCTCTTGTCCCCATTCACTGTAATTGCATGGTAAAGTAATATTTAAAAAAAAACTCCACCTGTCCCACACTTAACTGCCACTGGTTGAGCCAACGCTATTAGGTGGGTCGCTCGGTCAAACATTGAAATTGTACCAGTATATTTCTGCAGAAATTACATGCTACACCTTTAACTAATCAAATGCCCTTTTTTCTGCTCACAACTCAGTATTTTGCTAAAGATCTCAGTATAAACTCTCTCATGAGATATAAACTAACATTTCTAATGAGATTCATTGTTACAACAGCAGAGATTTTGACATATACACTAGCACAGTCTCATTTTCGAGTGTTGACAGCATTGTACATTTTTAACCATCACATTCAACCATCTTTACTTGCACATTAAAGATTTCCTCTGGGTGCTGATGGTTGTGGAACAATCTTTAAGTTTGTTCTGCTGATTCGGTTCATTTTCATAGCTGTGAAGTAACAAGACCACTTCAACTACTGAGGATCATGTACACACTACCGGTCAAAAGTGTTAACACACCTATTTACTCCTAATCACGTCATTATTATTATAATTTTTAATTTCCACTATAATATGCCTCATAATCCTACTTCTGCTTCTTCACATTTTTTTTCTGAAAGGAATGCAACACGAGACTTGCAATACAAGTATGGTATTTTGTCGATTTTTAACTTTTTAAATAAATTTTAAAGCACAAGTTAAAAAAATCTCTCGCTTTGACAATGATAGAGCATCTGCCATTCACAATCTGCCAGTATTTGCTTTCTGAATTGTAGTTGCATGTTTTCGTTCCATTTGCATACAGAGTTGTTGTTGGTGTTTTCTTTATTACATCTGTTCATCTGTACATCTTGTGCTGCCTTTCAAACACTTGCTTCAGGAAATGCAAATCTAGTTTGTTGAGCTTGTTTCAACAACAAAGCAGAAGTATTAACTAATTAGCAGATATGTGAAATATAACACCTGCTTTTACAGTCTGTGTTGAAGCAACATTTCGCAGCTCATATGTTAAAGAATATAGTAAATGAAAGTGTACTGTGGTACTATAGCCTGGCAAGCCAGACCTACATCAAGATGTTAGGTCTGGGAACTCACAATTGGCATACCTCAATCCGAGGGGCGGGATAAACGGTTGTCTTTCAATATCCCTCGGCACGCAATAGGACAGCGCTACAACCAACCAGAGCAACGAACGGCTGTGGATGAGTGAGTCCCATGCGTTTTTCCACCAGCGGAGCTAGTTGATATATTAAACTTTTGCCGTATCCGATTGTCAAAACTCCGAACACATCTTCCTTTTTTAAGAATGACTTAAGTTACGTTCTCTTAACTCAGGGGTAGGCAAGTTCGGTCCTAGAGAGCCGCTGTCCTGCAAAATTTAGTTCCAACCCTAATCAAACACACCTGAATAAGCTCATCAATGTCTTCAGGATTACTAAGGCTATAGGCAGGAGAGATTTTTTTCAGTGTTGGAGCCAAACTCTGCAGGACAGCGGCTCTCTAGGACCGAACTTGCCTACCCCTGTCTTAACTCCAAGTCCTCCAGAGTCGCGGCCAAATCCGATTCGAAAGACCGCTGTTCGCCAGCAGCATCTTCTTTGTTTTCAAGTAACGTTAGCAGGGACATCACCTATGGAAATCACGCGGAACCGTCACATCTCTGCCGTCATTGTTAAGCCCGCCCA